TCATTTTAAGAGAGTACACAGATAAAACCGTATAGGCAAAATTGCACGTATATAAATGAGTGAAAAGTGACTACACATTTTTGCACACGTAAACGTATAAAATTGCACCCTTGGATTTGTAGTGAACATTAGTCATGAGCGCGAACGAGGAGGAACGAATCGTAGGTATTTATAGATTGCCGAATAACGGGCGAAGAATGCGGCCGCGAAAATAAGGGAAAAATGTCGCGTTAGGACAGCCGCGGAGGAAGTTGTCAACAATAGCGGCGCAGCTACGCCCAAGGAGAGTAAGCGGTGACACACGCGTGTCACGGGAAGGGGGGGGGAGGGGAAGCCGAAAATAGAGAGGGGCGAAACGACGACCCTTGTGCACTTTCGGTCGGGATGCTTTCACCGGGGTGGAAGCATTGTTCCTCTCGGAAATGCGAATTTTCACTTACGCTCGTCGAAAAGCGCCCCCTTGCTCGCGCTGCTTACTCCGCCTCGTTCTATTCCGAAGGCCGGCCGATTCAATTTCACGCGCCGTTCCGCGAGGGCGTCTATTTAAAATTGCCTCGCTCATTTGTAATTTCGGGGTGTAGGCCGGGCGAATTGGTTTAATAACCAATTCTTTTTCCAATACCGCGCGCGTCGATGTTAATATTAAAAAATTCCTAAACATTTCCATTAAGGCGCGCCTGCGAGAATTGATACAGTTTTTTGTGCTCTGTCACGTCGCGCGAAATTCTCTTTTGTCGTTTTTGCCGCGTTAAAGAGCATTTAGTGCAGATTGACGAGGAAATTGACGTCGAGCGCGACAATACGATATCGCGGAGAATAGAAAGTAATAATGTCGTTTAAAATGTTAAATAATTATTACCCGACGTGGCGACATGAAGCCTCGCTTTTAACCGCTTTTTAATGTGATTTCCCGATACAATTGTTTGTTATGCTCGATATTATTCCATTGTAAAATATCGCAAACCGCGGAGTGCAAAATGTTATCGCGCGGACGGTATAAAATCAATTATGGGGCTGAGAATTTCGCAAAAATTATGCTATCGTGAGATCCGGCAATTGGATGTAAATTGTTTTACGAACAAGCGCGGCGCGCAACATTTCCATCAAGTATTCACACATTGCCGCAAATATTATGTTAAACAGAGGACCATTGAGCCGCGTTCGTTTAATTATTGACGTATATGCCATTGATCTCTTACAATGCGAGCGTTTCAGTGTATCGGGCCGTGTCGGCAGGATTGGAAGTATTATCACGTGCCTTCGGGAGAGCTTCGTTGAAATTCCTACGCGACGCGGCAGGAATCAAATTCAGCAAGATTCGTTCGGATACGTTCGCGTACGGTTGAAGGGTCACGGATGCCTGGTATGCAAATAAATCGTTATTTCGCGGCTTTCGTTAAATCAACTAAATTATTCCGTTAAATCGCCGCGCCCGTGCCGGGCCGCGTTGGCCGTGCTGACGTTTTCCCAGCGCCGCGCCGGGCCGAAAGTGAGTTACGCCGTTTCAATCGTCGGAATGAAAAGTGTCAAAGGACGGCATAAATCTGCACGTTCAAAAACAAAGCGCGCCGCCGGCCTCTGAAAACGAATATTCAGTGGAAAATATCGCGCCTCTCTCGCGAGCGCCCCGGTTATTTAAAGCGGCGGTATTTTCTACGATAGCGATGGATCCGCTCGTCAAGATAAGAGCCTGCAATGTTGTGTCACGTGGTTTTCTATTTTTATTTTATTTCACGCGCCTCTGCCCTCTTCTTCTGCTTTCTTTTCGACAATTTCGCCCGGCAGCGAGTTAGCGCGCAAATATTGAGCTTGTTTTCGTAAACGTGCCGGCGGGAGGCTCGCGGCAATTAAGTCGATGCGATTAAAGCTGAATTAAATTACAAAGCTACGGGTCTTGCGCGCGCGTGCGCAAGCGGCCCGTAAAGTACCACGAATAAAAGTATGCAACGGCATAACTTGTTAACGCGGTTAACGCCTCGGTCTCGAGAAAATTTAGAAGGATGCGATTCAGAGAGAGAAAAAGAGAGAGGGAGGAGGGGGGAGGAGAAGAGGAAGAACAGGCGGGGAGCAACGCCGCGTGCTGCGAGCGTAAAACATTTAATTGAAGCATCAGGCATGAGGCATCAGGCATGAAACTTCGCGTGGATCGATACGTAGAACGCACTCGACGATCGCAGAGAGATACGGATGAGCAACTATACACTTAATCCTCTCTGCCTGTCTCTTTTCTCCTTCCCTCTCTCTCTCTCTCTCTCTTTCTGCTTTTCCCAGTTTTCCTCTTTTTCCTTTTCTTCTCCTACTCTCCCTTCTTCTTTTTTTTTTGTTCCGCTTGGTGCTCTTTTGCGCGATCGTAGCTCGTCTGATGTTGCACTCGACAGGAGGGCACTACTGATTACTAGCGTACGGAGCTTTTCCACTCGAAGGTTCCTCGAGATTTATCTACTTTATGGAACGAAAGGTGGCTCTCTCCGTCGCGTCTTTATTGTTAATCATGAGAATACATATGCGAATACATATATCGATAACATATGCGTTTCTCTTCCTCTCTTTCTTTCTCTCTCTCTCTCTCTATTTTAGTATTTTCATGGATTTGCGTCTCTCTCTCTCTCTCCCTCTCATTTGCGTCTCGTCTCTCTCCAAGTGGTCATCTAACGACGTTGATAGGCGATTACCGCAGTTAGACGATACGATACGTTACATATCGTGTCCAGATCTAGACGTAGCGTTTGCGTTTTTGTAGATAATACGTTTTTGTAGATAACAACTTTGCCGTTGTATCGTGCGCAGGCGCAATAGAAGGCTCGCGGATTTCTAAGTATTTGCACGAGAATTTTACATGGATGAAATTCCGTGCGTTTTCATAGCGGAACAAAGAACTATTTGAATAGCAATAAAGCGACTTCGTATTTATTAGCGACAATTTGACCAATGACGAAAATATGCGTGTCCCGGTGATACGAGGCAACTGGCAAGAAATTTCGCGCAAGAAATTATTTATGAAATTTTGCGTGTGTTTACCATGAAAAATACGTCGGAAACGCACGGGAAAAATGCATTAACTTATATTATTAACTTTTTGCGGCTCAATAGCTCACTTTTTTCTATTCAGTTTTTAATTATTTTGAAGAATTTCCTGACTTTAAGTTGCTGCCTTCTTTTGTTTTTGTAGAGAAAAAGAATAGGCAGCTATACATTTTTATTTCCATAATTTTTATAAATAAACAAATAGTCAAAATTTCTTTTACGAAAAAAATTCATTTTCTGCTAAACTATTATCAATATCAAAATGGCAATTTAGAAACTTATTTAGAACACTCTAAAGTATTTTTTAGAATTTTGTCAGATTTTTTGCTATGTTATTTTGTATTATAAATTAACAATCTTTGAAAAATATGAAAAAATCGGCATTTTCTACTGTAAATAGTTAAGTAAATAGTTTGAATATCTTTTATAATGATGTCCTGTGGGAACATTATATTGTTTTTTGGGTCACTGAATCTTGATCTAGAATCAGAATTTTTAAATTTTTTAAAATTCAAAATGGTGGAACCAGAATGAACCAGTATGAATCAAAAAATTCTAATTTCTGATTCGTAATTAGCGCCCTAAAAAATCGTCGGGTACAAAGTTTCAAAATAATCTGACACAAAATATGAAAATAAAATATGAAAGATATGAAAAATAAAATATGAAAGATATGCGTCTATAGATTTGTGCTCGCAATATCGAAACGCTGAATCATTCACGCGCACATGTGCACAGTCGCTATGAAACGACGCTGAAATTCGCATAGATCGTAATGCATTCTAATTTTCGTAAATTAATTTTGCATACTTGCAGAAGATGAAAAAAAAAAACCTCTGTCGAGGATAATGTATGCAATTTCGACACGTGGTTATAACGTAAAATATATTTCTATTTGTACGTACACAGTCTGCCCTGCAGAATATAATTTTCGTACGCAGTACGAGCTAATTGTTAACTCTTCCGTCATTAGTGCCGAATTTTTCATGATCATCACACAGAATAAGAGATTATGCGCGTTTCTCGTATTACCTTTGTCGGGGACAATTTTATTCACGGAACTATCGACGTTTTTACATTGCCTTAATTGACACCGTGCGCGCGGAGAGAGCGCCATGCAAATTAATAATCTAGAAACAAAATTCCATCCACGAACTTAGTTTATTGACAATCGTGCCGTCCGTGCGAACGTGCGCGGAATATAATCGCTATGTATTCCAAAGTGACACGCCAACTACGTATAGTTCATCCTTTATTAAATTTCAATGTATTGAGTCGTGACGATAAAACGTAGATACCGAGCTTCGCGCGAAACGCAAATGCTCACCGACGTGTATCCTCGGTATACCCGGCGCGGACTCTGAAAAGAAAGCTCGAGAGGTTGTAAAACTGCACTCCTCCTCTCGACAACTGTTTCTACATCGCCGGTTTATCGTTCGCAACTACCGGGTAGACACGTATCTTCCGCGCGCGGAAGGGAGCGGGCTGCGACAATTACACTATTAAACTTGGCGCGACACTACTCGCTCTCGCAGCTCGGCCATTCTTTCCTTAATTACACGGTAATTGATCAGCTCGCGTAAGGCGTCGCGCTACGTGCTGCAAATTTACCGCAAACTCCGCGCCGTACGTGTCGATTCTTTCGCGCGGATCCTCCAATAACAGCAGGTGCAGGTGAATGCGCGTGTGTATGTGTGTATGCATGTGTATGCGTCGCGATACACTACATCGGAGCGAGAAAGAGGCGGCTCGAGTGAGCGATAGAAGCGGCAGGATAGACGTAATGGGACGGGGGGAGTGAAGAATAGAATGGAATAGGCTTGAGTCTTCTCCGCGCGCGACTCTAATCATCCAGTGAGGTCACGTAGCTACGACCTGAAGACGTATATACAGGCTAAGACGGCGGGTGGAGACGACCAGGCGAGGCGAAGCAAGGCAACCCAAGGTAAGGCAAAGCAAGGCAAGACGATACTTACGAAATCCCCGTTGAGCTTCCACGTAACGTTGGAGGCGGGTCGGGAGTTGCCCGTGGTGCAGTTCACTCGCAGCGTCTCGCCCACTGCTATGCGCTCCTTCTCCGTGCGAATCGTAGGATCCGTTTTTGGGGCGTCTAAGGCATAATAATTATGTCGTTTAGCACATGCGACTGCTGCCGCGGCACTAACTCGACATCTGGCGACATGCCAGCGGCGCCGAGGGCGTCACGGAGCGCACCGGCAACACTTGAGCAACGACCCCGTCATGCTCGGCACCGCGACGACGGCTAGTGTTTTCAACTGATCCCTCGGACACCGCTGTGCATTTCGTTTAACAATTTGTAATCTGTGTCGCGACGCGATATCGTCGCACGGGCTGTACACTCGAGTGCATGTGTGTGTTTGCGCGCGCACTCATGTACGTGTCATTTGATGCATGGGTTTTCTCCTCGATCACGAAGGGCCAGCTGCGCTGGTCCCGCCAGAGGAATTCTGTATCGCGCTTACATCGCACGTAGGAGAGACCAAGACTAGACGCCCTATATTTTAGAATTTCGAAGTTATACAACTTCTCAGGCAACTGATTGTTGTGACTGACTGTATAAACATGATAGAGGCAACTTTCTTCTATGTATTAATGTCTACCACGACCGTTAACTGTATATTTTTTTTTGTAATAACCAAAATATAAATATGCAGCAACATAACCATCTTACTCTAGTAAGTTCAGTTAGCTCTGCTGAGTTCAGTTAGCAAGAGGTAAGAAGGCTACGTATAAAATATATACTCTGATTAGTAAAACAAAGAAAAAAATATATGTAATCAGAAGACGAAGGCAAACAACAGCCTGCGGCGTTAGTAAGACAAAAAATTTTAGTCAGCGATATAATATAGTATAAATAAATATATCTCGGTTTCTTTATTTTGGACTCCCCCTCCCCAATATATAAAAATATAAATTAAGTTAAATTAAAATTAAACTTAGACGCCATTAAAGCTCACAATTTACAAGTATTGAGAAAAACGCTCCGAATTACTAACGTAATTGTTGCCTTAGGAATTTAAATAAGCAAGTAAATTAGGTAAAACCTATAGTCAAAATCTAAGTCATTAACAATAAAAGTTTACTTATTTATTATTAATTTAAAGACTCCTGATTAATAGTTCCAAAGTCTCCGCGAGAAATCTTCACAGTTCTCCTGTCGGCCCTTAAATATGGACCAACTTTACTTCCGTTCATATGCTCTATTTGAATCATTTTATGAATGAAAATTGCTCTTATTATCAGAAACAATATATCATATACTTGCAAGAAATTTCATTCTAATTAGTAACATATTGTTTCATTTGATTCAGTCACGATAGAGAACATTAATAAAAAATGTTGAAAGATTCGAAAATTTACTTTGCTATTAGCAAATTAATTTTTTCTGTTTCTTAACAGTAATGTTATTCCGATTTTAATAAAACTCTGCGAAAAGTATTTATATTCTCTAAAGGATCATTTCGCGATTTCGTACTCACTATTCTTCTCAAGGTAAAAGAGCACATGAGTAACATATCTCTGGAGCCATATAACCTCAATCTCCTCTACAGTGCATCGAAAAATAACACGTCCTTCTTGAGGATTGGTGATTTTCCAAGAAATCGCGACGAAGCCTCTCCGTCATCTACGTGATCCGCGATCGAATACAAAATTGTGCCACATACACACACACACACACATAACACGCACGACGTGCAACGACGCGAGTCGCTTGAGACAAAATCGCGAGAGCAGGATCCAGTTTGTCCGTTGGAAATCGATGGAGTATCTTATCGGAGCGTTACACAGGCTGCATCGATTTCGCCTAAATCCACTACTAGAGAGCCAGGATCGTTGATCCCCATACGTACTTAGGAAACGTATCACCGTTTCGGAATCGAGTAGCGAAATAAACGTTCGCGCAGTATCTCCGAACGATCTGAACACGAAACGCGTGTTTTCGATTCGAATGAAGGACAAACAGAAACATGAGAAAGAGGTGGACCTTCTAATGCTCAGCGCGATCGACGTACACTTACCGGCTACTTCCATTCTAGCGCTTTGGATCATAGTGTGATAGGAAGGGCTGCTGGCGGATACTTCGCACTTGTACCATCCGGTCAGCTTCCTGGACACGTCCACCAGTGTCACGTCGTGCGTGTTCGATTTAGAGATCTGTAAAACGTGAAGTCCGATGTACCGTGGCTCTCTTCAACCAGTGTGTTCCATTTCCATCCCCTCCCCCCCCCTCTTTCTCTCTTTCTATTTCCTACAAGAGGATAGGCCCCGCGCTACGATCCACGCGCGCCCTTTCCTCCCGCAGTCAGGTTTTTACGATAGCGATAGCAGCTAGCTTACGCAAAGTTTCGCCGTTCTTCACGGTGGCTCCCGTCCATAGTCACGAAGAGAACGCCCCCATAATCGGCGATCTTTCGACCATCCACGCTCGCGAGTGCTTCTCACGCCGATAACTCGTCGGCATGAAATTATTCTCACGTGATCTCCGCGGCGGTTCTCGCACGATAATTCAGCGAGCATCCACAAAATTCTCGCGTTTTCCCGCCCCGTGCTCCAATTAAACTTTAACACTCCGTAATCTCGAGCCGAGGGAGGAAGTTCGGCGGGAGATGCGAATGGGGATGCTAGGGGAATATTCATTACGAATGGCTCGTACCTAAGTGGTTAACGTTCGTTCTTTTATTTCCCGCGCTCTCCGTCGTAATGACGAAATAATTAGACGTCGAGCAGGGAAGAGGATGAGAGAGGGGCGGG